GAAATGTCCAGTGGCTCTTCTGCTATCTTTTTTTTGGCCCTGCTGACCCCTGCTCCGTCCTTCTTTCTGTCCAAAGCCTAGCTTCTACGGGTGGCCTCCATGCCCACTGCCAGGTCAGTTCTGACTGTGGCACGTGGAGCCTGCAAACTCCCCGCCTGTGTCACCAACAGAGGCTGGCCACCACCCCTGTCCGCCCCCCAACACTGAAGGCATGTTTGGTCCGGAGCCTTCCGCGGTCCTGTCTTCATTGCTGCTGCCCACGCCTGCCGGCCCCATCTCTGCTCTGCCGGCCCCATCTCTGCTCTGCTCTCGTGGCCTCCTCTCCTGCGGGCTGCAGGGGGCAGATGAGTTGTTTCCCTGAGGCATCCGCGTGGGGCCGTACTCCTGCTGAGAGTCCAGAGGCCCTCCGTGCGCAGCTCCTTCTAGTCCCAGCTTCCCACACCCACTCCTCCCCTGAGCGCTGCTGCGCTGGCTCCGTCCTCTCTCCAGCCAGGCTGCGGTCAGGCTGTTTCCGTCCTGAGTGCTCTCCCTGGGTCCCTGTGCCACCCCCTCTTCCTCCCCGACAACTGCTGCTCATGCTGGGTGCCCTCCTGTGACCCCCACCCTGTGGCCTCTCTGTCAAAGGTGATTCGGTCACGGTGCTTTCAGGGCCACTTGTTAGTCCGTGTCTCCTACTAAACTAGACAACAGGAAAGGAAGGCCCGCGCCTTCCTCGCTCTCGTGCCCCCAGATGGGGGCCCTGAAATTTGTGCAGGTGCGCGAATGGATTCAGCATGGATGCTGCTTCAAAGAGCGAGCGGATGGCTGTTGACAGAAGACTGGCTGGTGGCACTTTTGGACGCATGCGTGACCCTTTGTGGCGCTCTTCGGGTGGTCGTTCAGCCATGCCCCCTGTTGTTTTGGGGTGCTGTCTTAGCCTGTCCAGTCGGCACACAGAAAGGGGAAACCTGACAAGCTCAGCGCTGTGAGTGACGGCCCGGATGTCAGATAGGTAAAGGTCTAAGTGAGCGGGCTGCCGTGGGAAGTCACTGCCTCGGGCCTGGACCACAGAGTGTCACTGCCTCGAGCAGGCCCTGCCCCGTGTCCCTGAATCTAGGAGAGCGCACCCAGGCTGTCCGAATGGCCGCTTCTCCAGACTCTGGAGGCAAACGCCCTCCACGCCGGGTGAGACACTGGCAGCCTTCCCCGCTGCTGTCTGTTCCCTGCTGAAAACTGGGCGTGTGCACTGGTCAGGGCCCGCGCCCACCCACATAGAAGCAACGTGTCTCTCCAGTTTACTCTTCCGGTCCCAGAGACGTCCCCTCTTTGCTTTCTCCTCGCCCCCTCGATCTGCCATCGGTCAATTTGACGGTCCCCTCCTCCTGGCATCTCCTTTGATTCCAATGTGAAAATAAACTGCAAACCATTCCTTCAAGCATTTTCTCAATCCTTTGAGATTTTTTGCATCTGGGTCTGGCCCTGAACACTTTGGATCCAGTAAACCCTTTAAGCCTTTCTTTTTAGGGTTGGAATTTCTCTTATCAACAGGATGATTTAACTAAATACCACAGGCCAGGCAGCTTAGGGGGGAGGGAGAAATATTTCTCACAGGCTGGAAGGTCAGGTCCAGGGGCCAGTGTGGTCAGTGAGGGCTCTCTCCTGGGTTGGGTCAAAGACTTCTCCCTGTGTCCATGTGTGCAGAAGGGGCTGGGTCACTCTCCGGAGCCTGCCTGCGGTGCTGACCCTGGCCCTAAAGGCTAGGCCCTCAGGGCCCTACACCCCCAAAGGCCCCGCCCCCTCATACCATCAGCAGTAGGGGTGAGGACTTCAACACCTGTATGAGGGTCACACAGGGTCACACCACAGCACAGGGCAAGCCAAGAGCCCTTTCATCTCGTCCTGGGTGGGACGGCATGACCGGAGGCACAGGCCTTGGGAAACGACAACTCTGAGTGAGGAGAACACCCGTGGGGACAAGAGAGGGACTTAGGAGAGGGTGGCAGCCATCGGTGTCGGAGGGACAAACCCTGGAGGAGCCGGAGAAGTGGCCTTTGTCCTCTTTCTTGCCTGGAATGTGTCCTGGTGGGAGCGGCCCTCCCACCTGGGCTCATTCCCCAGAGCCTCCCCGTCCTGTGATCAAAGAAACCAAGGGCTGGAGAAGCCCGAGGACTTGCCCAGGGTCTTCAAACGGGCGACAGGAACCAGCGGAGAGCAGGTACTCAGAGCTGTACCGTCTGGATGTCCGCAGACCCTCGGTCCTGACGTGCAACCCGGAGGGCCACAGCCCTGCTTCCTCCGCACGCCCGGTTCCTGGCCTGGAGGCCATGGCAGCCGGAAGCCAGGGCCCGGCCACGTCCTCTGAGCAGCACCTTCCCAGGTACAAAGAGGTTTCTCTGTGGGAGGGTGGGTGTGAATGGGGGGGGCAAAACCAGGGAAATAGCTCTTTGTCTTTTGAAGTTTTGGTGACGCTTCACTTTTTTATTTTGAGACTCAAGGGAAAATGTGGTCTTGAGTGGGTGTGTTGGGGTGCACGTCCATACCTGAAGGAGCATTGGGGGTCCGCTGGAGCCTCGCAGGGAAGGACGAAAGGCTCGCACGCCCTCCAAGTTCCTTCCCTGCCCCAGCTCAAGGCTGCAGCTGTGCAGCAGGAGGCTCGGGGACCCCAGGGCGCCACCCCACTGAGCTCCCAGCCAGCTGCACCCACCCAGGGGCGCCCATTTCCCCAAGCTGGGGCTTGGCTCCTTAGGTGGCAAATGTCCATGAGTCAGGAAGAGCAATGAGGAGCTAACGAAGTGGTGAAGGCCTTAAACAAGCCCCCCATCTTACACAAGGGCCGCTGGCTCTCCTTTCCCTGCCCATTCAACCATTCATTCATTCAATCATTCATTCAATCATTCAACCATTCAACCATTCACTCATTCGACCAGCTTTCTCTCCGGGGTCCAGAGGTTCATGGTCTGGCGGGGGAGATGTTGAAAACTGAGTCGCTGCTGCACCAAGTGTATTTTAAGTTGCGTGTGATGCACGTTCGGTCAGACCCAAACGAGGAAGGGGGTCTATCGCTTCACAGGATGGAAAGCTCCGGGGCCGGGTTGCCTCAGAGGAGTCCCTTGCAGCAGCTGCACCCACGGCCGCTTTTCCATTCCCCACCTGCCTGCTGGGGCGTCCGGGCGTCTGAGCGTCCAGACACGACCACGGGCAGCTCCCGGAGCTGGGTGCTCCTCCGACCTGGGGAGACGGCGCCTCGCCCCGGCCTTCCCAGAAAGAGCCCCGGATGCCCTCTGGTGCGGGGGTGTCGTTCAGGGCCACCTCGGGTTCGTCAATCACTCGGTCAGTGAGTGGTCACCTGCTCCGCGGGGGGCTGGTGTGGGCTGCGTGGGAATCCCTAAGTGGGGCAGGACCAGGAGACCGGGCTTTGGCAGGGCGGCTGCCACAACAGCCCGAGGAGGCCCGGGGGCTTCTGCGAGCAGGAGTCGGCCGAAGGGGAGGAGTTGGGCGGGATCAGCGTCTGGAGCACACTCTTAATGCGATTGAGCTGGAAGCTTCCCTCTGTGAGGTCCTGACGAAGGCACGAAGTTAATGTCCAAAGACACGGAGGCAGCCACGGGCTCTACGCCAGGGCTCCAGAGGCCGTGCCGGGGGTGCGCATCGCCTCTTAAATTCTCAGTGAAGCAGATGAGAACGTTTGACTGTGTGCTGGAGCGGTTCTAGGGAAAGCAGCGTCGCAGGGTGGTCTGGTTTAAAGTCCTGGCTTACAACCGGGTCCTGGTGGGCAGTCGCGCCCCGGGCTGTGACTTCCCTTGTCTTCCTTGTGCACTAGGTCAGCTGGACTGACCAGAAAGAACCTTCTTTTCCCTCCCTGGGCTGGGTAAGCTCCCTCAAGAGGCTGTCCTGCAGTCCAGCCCCACCATCCTGTAACATTTCTTCCCTTTCCTCCTTACTTCTGCATGCAGAAAAGAAACTTCAAACTGCCAGGAGCGTCTGAGATCTCACTCCCCAACAGTGGGTATCAGTTTGGCTCAGATAAACTGTTATAAAAATTCTCTACGTGTCTGGACATTTCTTACATCGACAGAGCTGTTGGTAAGAAGGCTCCGGTTCCAAGGCTTGTGTGAGACTGTGTCACCGAGACAAGCCTGGGCTCCGTGTCTGCGATCTGGGCTGCAGTTGTCATCAGAGGGTGTGGAGACCTGGTGGTGAAGAGAACTCCCTGAGACCTGTGGGGCGGGATGGGGTTCCCTGGAATGGAGGGGGGGTCCCCTCCCGACTTTCCAATGTCCCATCTCTGTCTGTCTCACGGTGGAAAAAGTCCAACCTCCATCTCGGAAGGGCCAGACATCTGCTCCATACTGAAGCCCGGCCCAGTCAGTCCGGCATCCGGCCAGCTCAGCGTGCATTCCTGGCTGTGACCCGCTGCTGTGCCGAGGTACCCAGGCTCCCCCCTGGGGCCCCGTGTGGGGTCCACACAGCCATCGGTCGCATGGCTGCTCAGGCCATGTGGGCAGAGGGTGTGCAAGTGTGTGAGATGAGTGTGGGTTGGAACCGAGAGGGAGGGAGAGGGAGCTTCTCTTTCCCCCAGGGAGAATGTTAGCTCGGGCTCAGAAAAGGCTTCGACAGAACCAATCCACTTCCCAAGCTTTTGTGAACTTCTGATAGATAGGTCCACCGGCCTAGTTAGACTGACAGGCCTCGGTGGCCCAGCTCAGCCCCGGTGCCCCCGACAATCCTGTACTGAAGGGGGACGGGAGGAGTGTCGACCCCCTCGGTGGAGCTGTGATCCCCTGGGTGTGAGGCTGCAGCTTCCTGGCTACACAAGCAGGCTCACGCTCCCCGGTTTTTTAGCCTCGATGTCTAACTCCCATCGTTCTCTTTCCTTATTAATAATTAGCTGAATACTAAATGTAACAGAGTCTCAGCTCCGCCACTCACTCACTGGCCTTGGGGAAGTCACTTGACCCCACCGCTTAACCTCTTCTTTTTAAAAGTTTGGGTCATCGCTTTTCCCTCGCGGGGAGACTGTGAAGAGCAGAAGTAGGCCTCCGAGTGCCGAGCCGCAGGGAGCAGGCGTCGAGCCACTGTGCCTAGTATTCTGTGCACGGCGGCCTCTCTGGGATGAGGCAAGGTCAGAAGAGGGGCTCGGGCTTTCTGGAAGAGCCTGGCTCAGACCAGCTCCAGCTGCAGACGTCCACGTTCGGGAGAAGTGACGTCAGGGGTGCGCTGGTGCGGCTGCGGCGTCTGCTCGGGTCCCAGCGGTGCTTCCCCTGGATCTGCCAGTCCCTGGGCGTCTCTGGTTCTAGTGGCACAGAGTCTGCCCTCGGTCCAAGGTAATAGACTCGGGTCAGAAAGGAAGAGTGATAATCCCACTCTTTACTTGAAATCAGAAGGAAAGTGGGAACACAGCCGTGTGCGGAGCCACTCTGGGGAGCTTTGGGACGGTCCGAAGGAGGGCACAGGAGGGAATTCGGGTGCCTTCTGGTTGGGGCTGGGATTGAAAGGGGGGGCGCCCACAGTGGACGACCGGGTTTGTGCCAGGGACACTTTAGCCCAACCTGGCCTGAAGGAGGATGGGGGGAGGCATCTGCTGGGTGGGCGCAGGAGCGAGACAGAGGGGGGCAGCAGTTGCAGGGACATGGGTCACGGCCTTGAAGCACAGCGACGGCAGCTCGGTGGGTTGGCGGCCTCCGCAGACAGGGCGGTATCACGGCCCAACACGGACATCCCTCACGGGCACCCGGACGTGGGGGAAGCTGAGTGCAGGACCACTCGCTGGCAGAGGGGGCCGGCAGGGAGTGCCCACCCCTGGGGACACCCAGGAGCAGCAGGGACTCCTCAGAGTTGACCAGGGGCAGGCAGGACACACTATGCCAGGTTACTCTATTTGGCCCCAGAACGGGGTGGCCCGGGAAACCCAGCAGCACAAACCCCTCACGCCGCCCTGGACATCACACAATCCCTCCTGTGCCAAGTTCAGGCACTGGGAGCACACACATTACATCGTGCCTTCAAGAATCATGATTTAATGCTGTTATGACTGTGCCTTTTGCCAGAGATGATTAAGAATGTTTTCATATCTCCTACAAAACTTAACTGTGGGGACGATTTTCATCATAATGTTTAAAAAGCTGTGCAAACAATTCCCCTACTTTCTCTTAACGCGTTGGGAATGTCCATCTCTCATGCTGTACGAGCTGACCTCCTTCCGCTTTTCCTCTCTTCTTTCCACTTTGTGAGGAGTTAAATAACTTACTGAGTTTCTCTTCTGCCACAAGGACAGGGGAGCAGAGCCTGGGGCGCAGTGGGGTAGCTGCAGTGTGGGCGGATCTCACGGCTCAGCTCCCTCCCAGGCCTCTCGCCTTCTCCACGGCTCTGGTTGGGGGTGTTTGGATTCCGACTGTTGCTTTTTATCAATTTTTCGTGTTGATGAGTCTTTCTGGTAAGGCACCTAAAGTACTTATTGGAAGCGGTTGGCATTTACTTAATAAAGCCACTAACTGAACAGAGAGTACGTACGAATTTCATCTTTCTCAGAACAGAGAATTCTTTCTTTTAAGCCTCATATTGTTTTTCTCTTAGGCGCTCAGTGCTGAACAACGCCGCCCCTTTTTCAACATATTTTCATCTGAGGCAATTCTTTGTTCCGTCCAATACATTTATTTTCTTTATGAGACAGAAATGTGGGCAAAAGAAAATGATCTCATTGCGTGTGACTCCTGACACAGTGTCAGGGCTACAGACCACGATACGATTCAGTTCCGCACACGACTTTGGAAACCGTTTTGTCTCTGTGCCCGTCGGGGAAACTCTGTGAGAGAAAGTGTTCGTGGCGGTTCACCCATTGGCGGCCACACGCTCCTGGCCTGACCCTGACCTGAGCTCTGAGCAGTCAGGGGCTGGCGCTGGAGTTTCTACCCCTGCTTTTATTTAGACGAAAAGCCATAAATCAAGACAGCGCGGACTCACTGGGCTCCTGTGTTCCTATTGCCAGACCCTAGCCTGGGGCGGGGGGAGGGGCGGGGGACGGGATGGGCACAGCGGCGTCCCTCGGTGATGCCCGCAGAGCCGCAGCCCCGACCAGGAAGCAGCGTCACCAGCGCCCCAGCAGCTGCCCCCTCGTCCCCACCAGCCCTCTGCCCACAAGGAAGCAATTATTCATTTTTATGGCTCTGTACTAGTATTTTATTATATAAATACAGCACAAGCCAGATGTCCATTCTGCCGTTTGCCCCCTTCCGGTTGTTTACCGTTTCGGCGCTGACGCACAGCGCTGCTACGAACACCCTTGCCGGCGTCTTCCGAGCAGCACACACGCGCCTTTCGTTGGCAGACGTGCCCGGTTGTCCTGGGCGCAGGTTTCGTGTGTGATCAACCTGAGAAGACTGTTCTGAGAAACAGGTCTCCGGAGGGACCGCACCAATCCCCACCCTCGCTAGTGGCTTCTGAGTGCCCAGGGCGTCCCCATCCTCACCAACCCTCGTTACTGTCCCTACGCAAAGGCCACCGTGAGCCCGTCATGGCCTGGCTCTGTGACGTTAGCCGTGCAGTGACAGCGAACGGGGCTGAGCTGTTTCCTGTCTGCCGGCCACGTGGACGTTCTCCTCCTGCGCAGCGACGCCCGCCTCTTCTTCAGAGGACGTTTGCCGTTCCCTTTTGTTTTCCGTGTGGGTCCACAGTCACCAGGGAACTGCGTGGGGGGCGCAGGTGGAGACTTATCTTTCCCATAAAAGTGCACGGTTGGCCCAGTAGGATTTATTACAAAAACTGTACTCTCACCACTGCTCTCTGGCACTGTGTTTGTCCCCAGATCGATTGTTCGCCACCGGACTTTTAAATGCAACCACGGTTCTCAGGTGTCCTCCTCTCACCAACCCACAGGACCTGGAGCCGGAACTTGGTCTGCGACATCGACTCTGGGTGGCCCTGCAGCCTCGGCAGAAGGGCTGAGGAAGCAGAACTGGTTCACGCAGAAGTGCAGTGCGAACACTTCAACCAGGAAGACGGGTAGGGACCGCTCCACGCGACACCGCCTGGTGTCTGAAACGGTGGACCCGGAGGGCCCGGCGGGCAGGCCGCCTCCTGTCCGCCCGGTCAGGCCTCTCCCCACGCTGCCCGCCTGCCACGGCCCGAGGGGCCCCACGGCAGTGGGCTCCCTGGCCCTCCCACTGCCAGTAGGTTCAGCTTTGGGGAAACACCGATTTGAAGACAGAGGAGCGTGGAGTCTGGTGCTTGTCTCCTTGACTATGTCCCTGTGGGCTGGCGGTTTTCCTCCATGAAATGGTCCCCTCCACCCGCCCCTCTCCCGCCATATCCCGGCGGCCACGCCTTTCCGGGCTGGGAGCATTAACTGCACCCCACAGCACTGTCCCAGGGCACAGGCTGGGGTTCTGACTCCGAGACGAGAGGCATCTGGGTTCCAGACAGGAAACTGGGAGGCGGGACCCGAAGAAGAGTCAGAGGACATACACTGCCCATCTCCTGGTGAAGGTTCTAGAAGCTGTCACATGACATTTCTGCTTGCATTTCATTGGTCAGAATTTGGTCGCTTGGCCACAGTTAGCTACAAGACTGAGAAAGATCCCAGGTGGCCAAGCATCAAGCTAAACACCCTGCCAGCTAAGAATAAGAGTCCCAATCACATATGTGGTTTAATTCAGGTTTAGTCATTAAACGTGTACTCGGTGCCACTCTGGGCCACGCACTGCTCTGGGGTGTGGAGAGGACTCGGGCAGGGCCCCGGGCCAGCCAGAGCAGGACAGAGGTCCCCTCCTCCAGTGCATGACCTGGTGCCAGGCACTGGGGACTCCAGTGTGCACACCAAGTGTCCCTGACTTCAAACAGATACCCATGAAGACATCCCTCTGTCACAGTTCTATCAATCCAGGTTCCCCCGGTGACCCAGGTGGGAAGGGCAGAGACCTGTTCTCTGAAGGGAGGCGAGGGCTCACCACGGGCACGAGAAAGAGACAGAACTCGGCTCACCCGGCTCAGAGGAAGCACCAGGGAGACGCAGGGCACGAAAAGACAGTGTTTCTCTGGGGCAGTGAAGATGCCAGGAGTCTGAGAAGGCACACGAGTGGGGGAAGGTGGGTAAAACCAGGCCCGGCAGGTCCGCAGTGGCCACAGAAGGTGGGGCCTCGAACACCAAGCTCGGGCATTTGACAAATGCCTCCCCTCCGCCTGCCGTCAATCTCCTCCACTGTGGGTGCCCACGTGGGTTCCGATAAGTCACACATGAATGGTAGCATCACGTCAGAAGCGTGCCAAGCCCAGGTACACCTCTCAGGAAATGTACCAGCCGTCTGAACCTGGGAATTGCTCCCTCCTTCCTGGCTTGGGCGATCCGATGGAATTCTGGCCCGATTTCCTGGCCCGACTCACTCCCGGCCTTGGGGAGGAAGGCCAGCATGGGAGAGGGAGGGGCCGGGCCTCCCAGTCCCACCCAGGGTTTAGACCGCCTCCAAATACTGTGTTCTGCAATGAAAAACACACATTCAAAGTGGAAAGTTTTTTATTCCCCTTCTCTCAGGTATAGACTGGGAGAGGAGAGAAGGAGGGGGAACGATTACAAAAGAAGGAACATTAGGAACTTTCGTGTGCACCTACTGTGTGCCAGACATTATTCTTGGAGCCGGGTCACAGCGGTGGGCAAGGCAGGGTCCCTGCCGTACCCAAGGAGTTCCGGCGCTACCAGAGGGAAGCAACTTGAACATGCTTCTGGCCCCACACACCCAGGCAGTGTGATCAGTGCTATAAAGAGAGTAAAGGAGGAGGATACAGGCAAGAGGGACTACTCAGCGAGGGGATGAAGCAGCCATGAAAGGCGGTCTTTGCCCTCGGACCCTGTCTTAGTTCCCTGTCGTCACTGTGACACACTTCCAGAGGTCACCTGTGGTCCTTGATGGGGCCCTTCCTCTACTCTAAGGCCAGCGGGGCGGCACCTTCAAATCTCTCTCTGATTCTGACACTGTCCTGTCTTCCTCAGACACACAGAGGACCCGCTTAGCAACACTGGACCCACTCGAATCATCCAGGAGGATCTTCCCATCCTTAATCACACCTGCAAAGCCCCTTAAGCCATGCAAGGCAACCTCTTCATGGGTCTCGGGGACCAGGGTTAGGCATCGCTGGATGGTTGCTCAGCCTGTGGAACGGGAAACCCAGGCGCCACGGGCAGGTGCTAGACAAGAGCGTCCCAGCAGGAGGGAGAGCAGGTGCACAGGTACCGGGTGGAACACACACAGCGCTGTTAGAGACAGAAACACAGACACGGGGCCACGTCTCTGCGTTCCGGTCTCCTCCGTCGTCCCAGTGTGGAAAGCAGGCGTGCCCTGTGTGGGCCACGCACACGGAGAAGTCAATCGGAGCAGAACGGCGTCCGGGTCGGAAGACGCCACGGTGGACCATCTGTGTGTGGACGACACACTTACCTGCAGCCTGTCCCTGGCGCTGAGCTGAATTCCTCAAATTCCTCTCAAATGCTGTTTTTAAAAACCCACAAATCAAGCTTTAGCTTGAATACCTTTGAAAGCTTTCATTGAAAATGCCTGTCTTTTGGTTGGACAATGGAACCTTTCAATGTTGCTTTTTAAACTATGCCACCATTTATTGTTCACCCCCAGAGATCAAATGCACAGCCAGAGGCAGGTGGACCATGAAGCGGGACACAGCACTTCAGAGAAGGTTTAGTGTCTAGAAAACTGAAGTTTCTTTCCCTGCACTAACATGCAGTTTTTCAAAAAGTAAAAGCATGTGGTTTAAACAGAAAGGAAAAACAAACCAAACTGCACCCCACTCATCTCACAGAACACACACGTTCCATAATCCCTGCTGGCAGGACGCTGGCTTCAGCAGAAGGTCAGGACTTCACTTCTCCAAAACCGGGAGAAGCCGTCACACAGTGAGGACGGCACAGCCTTTCCCTCCGTGTCCGTGAGTTTCTCCAGTTCTAGGGGTCTGCTCGGATGCCCATCCTGGTGGCGGCAGCTCCTCCATCACGACGGCCCTTGTTACCACGTCACAAAGACAGAACCAGTCACGTGGGGACGCCCGGAAGTCTCCGCCGCAGCTCCCACGTGGTGTTTTCTCCGGGTGGCTCGGTGGAGGACGCCGAGGACCAAAAGGGCCTCGCAGGTCACGAGGGCATTCAGACACAATCAGCTAATTGACGGTGGGTCAGCAAGGGACAGGCCACCGGGGCCCCTCCCAGGGGACATGCCCTGTGCTCCTGGCCTGCTGCGCTTTGTAAAGTGGCAACTCCCTGTATTCGTTTTCTTTTTATGTCCTTCGCTGCTTTGTTTGAATATTCCTCATACCTTGAGCATAACATCTTTTTAACCGTAACATGTAAAACACCATCATTTCCAGTTTCTTCTCCCCAGAGGACCTACCCCTTGGGGTCTTTTCAGAACTGTCTTCCTGTTTACAGTGAAGTGTGAAGTCACATCACATTGTGATTTAGCGGGCAGTTTGCAGCGCTCACTCCGCCCCGTTGCCCGAGCGACCCCCAGGGCAGCAGGTCAGCCTGCTGAACGTGCCGTCGCAGACTGGCCGCCCCCGGCTTCTTCGCGGTTCAGCGCCTGTGTCTGAAGAGGAAATGTTCGCTGAAGTGCGTCCAGACCGTGGTTTTGGGGAGAAAAGGACCCTTTGTGTGCGTAGCTGACTTCATCCCGCCGCGGGGCTTGGTTTTGGCCGTCAGCATGTTATTTTCCTTATCACATCATCCGACATAATTAAAGGGCTTTGAAATGTCGCTTTTGTTCCTCTCGAGGCCCACGAACAGAACTCTCACAAGGCTTTCAAATTTGTCCTCTCACCAACTTCCGTTCTGACGGCCAAGGGCAAGCGATTTCCCTCAGAGACTAGGTGATAAAACGAGATCCAGCTTGGATCCATCACCGTGAATCATGAAACCAGGGGGCCATCCGCTGTGTGGTTACGAGAGCCTCAGGAAAAACTCACTGTGGATACTTTTCTAAGTCTTACAAGGTGCTGCGTTACTTCATGCGTAGGGGTCTATGAAAACAGTGAATTCTCCGGGTGTGTTTGATGATCCCTTCTTCGAAGAAGGGATTAAATTTAAGATTTCATCAAAATCACACAAAACATGGTTTTGAAAAGCAGTGGATCTAGAAGTTAATGTCCAAGAAGATGGTGAGTTTTCCCCTCGTAAGCAAAGCAGCCTGCAGCCCGGCCTTTCTGCTCCGAGGGGCCCTTCCTTCCCCGCGGAAGACATGCCCCCAAGCACACACAGGCCCGAACTTCTCCGCCCGGCTGCGGGGCCCTGGAGTGTTCAACCATGAAGTTAATCAGTCTCTGCCTCAGGACACATCGGGCCCTCCCTCCTAAACCAGAAGTCGCCACCGGGAGCAGCCCCTCTCCTCGCTACAGCTACTACCTAATCAGGGGGTTTCTGACAGGCGTGTGGGCCACCGGTCGGGCAGCCCCGTGTTCGTCTTGCAACCGTGGCGCTGAGAGATGAGCCACGCACCACCAACGCCCTGCACTTGGCTTTGAGTTTGGCCTCCTTGTCCGTGATGTGGGAATCCGAGAGCACGTGCTTTTGGTTTGTGGGGGGGGGGGGTTCAGCGAGTGCTCAGCCTTGCGTGCCCCCCGAAGTGGCGGAAGTCCCGAATGATGCGGGCATGGTTTCCTGGTGGATAGGATTCCACGCTCCCCACCCAAGGTGGCCCCTGAGGTTTCTGCTCAGCCACACCTCGGCTGGAGAGTGACTTCCCGCGGTGACAGGCAGTGGGGACTGCGGGTCCCACCCAATGATGGTCACTTCAGCTTTCCCTGACCGACCTAGGGTGACCTCGGCCTCTTCTGATTAAGGACTTGGTCCGATGGGCAGCAGAGCTGAAGGAAGGTAGGCAGGCCAGGCCCCTTGGGCTGACGCATTTCACAGTGACCACGGTCTCTTCCACATCTGTCCACGGCCTTACTGACCTCATCCACCTCGTCACCACGGAGACGCCCCCCACTTCCTGCTCTGGGTGCGGCGCCTTACTCATTTTTCTCTCTTGGAAAATGAGATCTGAAGGGTTTCCTGACTCCAAGCTGACGGCTCTCTGCTCTGGCCCCCTGCTTGCATTCTCAGGCCTTGGATGTCGCCCGCAGGAAGTGCCCCTGCACTAGAGGTCAGGGTCAGCGCTCCCCCTCCAGTTTACACCTTGATGTCCGAGCCCCCAGTACCTCAGAAGGTGACCTTATTTGGGACTAGTGAGCTGGCAGATTTGTAATTACTTAAGATGACGTCACACCACTAGGGTAGGCCCCTAATTCAGTGTGAGTGGTGTCCTCATACAAAGAAGAAATCTGGGCACAGAACACACACAGGAATGGAAAGAAAAGATTGGGGTGATGCTTCTAGAAGCCAAGGCACACCAGTGATTGTCAGCAAACTAACAGGAGGTGGGAGAAGGACCGGGGACAGACCCCACTTGCCCAGGAAGGAGCCAGCCACGCCCACTGGAAGACCAGGGACTGCAGGGACCACCCGGGACGTTCCTGTTTCCGCTCGAGCTGATACGTAAAGATGGTGGCACTGGCAACCCAGACTTCCAGTTAAGGCAGCCCCTCAAACTCACGCAGTCTCCTTTCCAAGTTCTCATCGGACCTGGATTCTGTGTCCAGGGTTCAGTGTCCAGGAAAGAGCCTAGATTAAAATTAAGCTTAGTGGAAAAAAAAAAGAATGGTTACAGTAGAACATTCTTTCTTCAATGAAACTTGATGCTATCATGAGGAGCAAGAAATTAGATTAATTTATTTACCTTTAATTTTTTTAAACTTTATCTATTTATTTTATTTATTTTCTTTTTAGAGAGGGGGGAGGGAGAGAGACAGAGGGAGAGAAACATCAGTGTGTGGTTGCCTCTTGTGCACCCAGAACTGGGGACCTGGCCTGCAACCCAGGCATGTGCCCTGACTGGGAATCGAACCGGCAACCCCTTGGTTCACAGCCCACACTCAATCCACTGAGCTACACCAGCCAGGGGAATTTCTTTATCTTTTAGTTTAAAATGGAAAATAATTCAACAACAAGCAACTTTCCTCTTTCATGAATGTACTGGAGTGTGTGGTACCCGATAGACACAGCACAGTTCCTTCATTAATTAAAAGTCATTTGCAGAGTGGATTAGAATGCCTTTGAAAGTTAGTCATTTCAGGTATTTATTATTCGTTTTCATTAGCTCTATTTTCAAAGAATCTATTAGCTCTGTGTGCCCAGAACTTTGCCTGAGAAAATATCTGGTACTTAGTGCATTAATGATAAGGCCTTGTCCTGCCTGCCTGTGACCACGCTTTGTAAAATCTTAGAAAATAATTCCGAGTTTTCATTCTGATTTGCACATTTCGGAGTGGCTTCTCGTATGTCTAGAGATATCAGCTCAAAGGGCACCAGCTTTATGTCAGAAAATGAAATCTGACGTTAGAGATGAAGAAATAAATGCAGCAATTCTTATGCTATTTCGTATGCTCATTGGGGAATATATCAGGAGCTTAGAGCGGCATTAAATATTTATTATCTCGCATAGTGTCTGTGGGCCAGGAATTCGAGAGCGACTTTGATGGGTCGTACGGGCTCCGTGGTGCATGAGGGTGGAGGTGGAAGCTGGCCAGAGTCACTGTCGTCTGAAGGCATGGCGGGGGCGGGGACGCTCATCTCCCCAGGGGTTTTGTCACATGGCTGGCCAAGGGATGCTGGCTGTGGCCAGGGGTCTCTGCCTCACCACACGGAATGTCTTGGAGCCCTTCAGGGTCCTCAGGACGTGACAGCTGATTTCACCCACAGTGGGTCACCCACGGGAGTGTGAAGGCAGAAGGTGCAGCCTTTCCATAGGAAAAGCATGAAATCAACGAAAGGAGAGTCTAAGCAATGTATACAAAAATTGGGCTGCATTTTTCCTAAAAGATGAAATCCTCGTGGAGCAGAGCAGGTCACGTGCCCACTTGCTATTTAATGGTGAGACTAGAGACATGGGAATGATTTACTAGGTGCAGAAAGCTCCGTTAATACACAGCATGTGTGTTCCTGGTTGAAGGTCCTGGCCACCGCCATTTCTGCCTGCTGAGGGGTCACCGAAGAGGTCACCAAAGAGGTCAGGTGCTCCTGACTCTGAAATAGGCCCTGGTTGTGAGCAGAAGTTTCTATAACCACCCCTCAAATCTGAGGGGGGAGGAGCGCATTGGGGTCAGCACAGGCATTTGGAGGGAAATGGACTTTTACAAGCAGAACGAGGAAATCTGAACTTCCTTTATTTTGATGGTGAAAAGCATGATGACCCCTTGCCTGACTCTGGTTTTCCTGAGACGATGGGACTTGTTCCGGGAGCTGCCAGCACTTCGGACGTGGGGGGAGGCAGAGGGAACGGAGACTGAGAGGAACTGCCACGTAAGCGACAGCAAGCTGCGGGCTCTGGCTTAGGCAAAGAAAGGGGTTTTCTTGACGACGAACTCAATAGGAGGGTCGCAACCAACAATTTTCCTGGAAAGCGGGTGTAAAAGACCTTCAGGGGTGACTGAATTCACGCCTGGAGCCGAGTAACAGTCAATGAATGTTCACTGAATGAAGGAAAAACTGAAAGCTGGACTGCTGCTACCAGGCTCTCTCGGGCTTCGCTCTGCTTGCAGATTCGCCTTTCCCGCCTGGGAGGAGAGGCGGCTCTGGCAGCCAGCGAGGCTCACATCCTATAGTTCTGGCCCCGGAGGGGACTCATGCCAAGCTCTCTCCCGGTTCCAGATGGAGCTGTTCCAGATGAGACACTGGCCTGGCCAGCTGCCTGCCTCCACGCTGACCGGTGGGGACACCTAAGAGCATCGGGGTTCCCACAGCACTCGGTTAATTTGGGCGGGAGGTGGGGAGGGAGGGCCGTCAGACATCCCTCGTTAACTTGTTGCAGGACCGAGGGCTGAAATGAGGATGGGGGCTCTGCTCCCTCTCTGAGGGCTGCGAGTCCGACAGCCAGGTGTCCGCAGGGCTGCCCTGTCCCGAGACCGTTCTCCGTGGCTCTGGGCTTCGCCGGCCTTGCCCTCTGAGCCAGGGCGGCAGTCTCCTCTTACACGGCGTCAGGCCCAGCCCGATGATTTCGGATTTCGCTGTACCTGCATTACTCCTTCCAAAACCCTCTTCCAGACGCAGGCGCGTTTGAGGCCCTGGGGGCTGGGACCTCAGCAAGGCATTCGAGGGTCGCACAGCTCGGCCCGTAACAGTCTCCGAGAAGAATATCGTGGAGGACGTTCATCACACAGGGTTTCCTTTCCGTGCCTTCTAATCTGGGCACCGGAGAGAGTTGCGCGGCTTCCCTTTGGGCCATCACAGCCATGGTTTCCTGAGGGAAATATGAGATCCGTATTTCCGCTAATGTGAGATCCATTTGGAGCAAGTACGAGGGCCTCGTGGCATGAATCCCTGTGTGGTCCTCTTTCCCGGCTGTACTTTACGTTCCTTTCCTCCTTCTTACGTGTTTGTAAGTGGTGCTGTCACATGTGTGTCCGCAGACGCCGTGTGCATCCTTTATGGAATCCAGTGGAATATCGATGGTTCAGCAGATAAATAAACTTAATTCATCAACTGTGTGTACAGAAGTAGAACATCTTCAGGGAAAAACAGAGAAAGCTTCTGTGCTAATAATAAATGTCCTTTCTAACAAATCACCTCATATCTTTTGGGGGAGGAAGCAGAGCCTATAATAAATATGTGAGTTGAGGGGAAAACCAAGATCTGTCACAAGATATTTTGTAAGACTCCAGCAGTAACTGAGCAAATCAATGCTTAAATTAGCGCCAACCGGTGGAAATAAGCATCGCTGAATTGATTTTTCCATGTACTGGCCCGGAGGCAGACAAAGTGGAGGAGGAGTTGGGTGGTTGCCAGACCTAAAGCGTTTTTCTGAGCACTATCAACAGCCGCTAATGGGCAGTGACGTCACCCAGGCCCCGCACCCCGCGCCAAGTGGGCGCGCAGAGTCCTGCAGGGCAGGCTGGCTGGGGCAGGGGCTGCGTCGGATCCGTTTCCACTCGCGGTGGGTGCTGGGGAAGCTGAGCCCCCGAGACAGAGAACTGACTTCCGTGACGTCAGCAGAGGGCAAAGGCCTGTGCCCAGGTGGCCTCTGTGCAGAGGAGGCTCTAGCTGACCCGACGACCAGCAGCACTGCCAAGCCCCCGCCGCCCTCCCTGGCGCCACAGCCCCCTCCCCCGCCCGCCAGTGGCAGTGGACATGAACCCCCGCAGCCCGGGAGCCCTTACGTCTATTTTGCTTCCTCAAGGTGGCCCACTCACAGATGGGTCTGTTTTTAAGACTCAGTCCCTTTTCTGAGTTCCCTGTGTCACCACTGTCCCAAAGTACGTTCAGGAATTCCTCCCAGTGGATTCTGCCCCGGCCAGCTCAAAGCGCCCGCAGGTGGCAGAGGTTCCGGCCTCTGGGCGCGTGGCTGTGGGCCCTGAGCTCATCCACTTCCCGGTGGGAGGGTGAGAGACAGCGGGGGAGGGAGGGGGAGGGCGTGGACCGAGCACCGGGCCTGACGCAGGCTTCTCAATCCCTAACACCTG